CTCATATGCCCACGCGTTCATAGCCTCCATGATGTCATGTAGGTTGTCCTATTTGCTGCCAACTTTACGCGGCTTGGAGACAAGCAGACGTTTGGCACTTACAATCAGATTGATCGGAGAATATCTAAATCCATGCAGATGAGACCTGAGAAGCCCTCATTGATTCTAAACCTTTAATGTGAGCATATGGACTTTAGAATCTAAACAAATCAAATGGCGAATAAAACTGTTTTGGTCACCGAAAACCATGAGAATGCAACAGCTCATATCAGGCGCTTCTTCACTGTAGCAATGCTTTGTGACTAGAGTTCATATCAAAGAATTGGAGTGGCAAGGTCACCCTTAAAGACAATCACCACTTGTTTCTGTCTAGGGACCCGGGTAGTGAGTATTTTAACCCTTGCACAAACTATGAGACAAGAATTTTGTGTGACGTATATCGTGGTGGGAACTATAATGTACTTAGTTTGTGTTTAAAAAAAATAAAATCACAATGATATACTATGATATGATTATAAGCAATAAATTGTGCTCGAAACGTCATCAGTAAATATTACCGTATAACGCTGTGAGACTTTATCAAAATAAATTTTACCCATAATGGAATAAAGTCACAATCGTCTGCTGATTTCCTTTCCTTACCTAACACTTTACATCTAACCTTAGTATTACTCACTATGCTATACCACTAAACACACGAGAGACGTAATGTAGACATCTCTGGACATAGACAGGTAGCTTTTCCATCTTTTCCTATTTCAATGGACATTGCACACTCACATAATAATATTGGCTTCATTTCAAACACCACGTTTGATTCAAAATCTGGGATTTTCAGCACGCACTACAGCATCGCATCTACATTACATTACACAGTTAGTGGGGAAATAATTTACGGGACATTTACATTGATAGTAGTTTCAATAAGAATATAAATGTAAAATTCAAATTCACAAGGAAATATTCACACCAATAAATAAAATAAAAGATTAAAAAGTCCGTTTATCTTGTGTTTCACAGTAATTTAGTAGCTTCAAACCCGATATTTGTCTCATTACATAATGGGGCTGTTTTTATACCTAGTTTTCCTAGCATAAAGTTGTACATGATGAGGTGCTAGCATGGAGAGTTGTGTATAAAGAAGGATAGATCAAACTACAGCTGTACAGTACAAACGTCCTTCGATCGATAGCCGGCCGGATATCACAAAAATGCTGCAGACAATCTCATGCGGAACTTTTGTATCCATGTTGGGAATTAATCAGAAATCAGGTCATCAAGGATGGTGCAAATAAGTGAAGTAGTGGTCAGCACATTCTACCACTTCACTCCCTACTTTTAAGCTAGGAGTCAGTGAACTACAGTCCTGCAGTATTAGCAACTCACTTTTGTAATAGGAGCAAACCGCATACCGAACACTCGAAGATTTCTGCTCAAAGTGCATTTTATCGGCATCTTCACCTAGGAGGACAATATTATTTGCAAGTCGACAAGACTGTTCCCTTGTAACAAGTCGCTGAAGTTAGCTATGGTCAACTCCATTAGTACATTAATGTTTATTTGTTATTAGAACATTTTCAATCCCTAATTACACATAAGTCCACTCAGTAGTTGTCTGTCTGTTTGTTTTCGACATAGAACTTTGCACCGATGTGCGACAGTTCAAGTCGCCACACTCCATGTAGCCCACAAATGAAGAGAAGAAAGTAGAAGAAATGTATAATAGAGACAGTAAACAGAGGTGTGAGACAAAGGAATAGTAATAATGAAGAACAAAGCAGTTTCATTGGAAATCATCAGTCACAGGGAGTGGACGCATCTGCACCATTGAGATCGATTTTGAGCCATATCGCCAATTTTTCCCAAACATTGGTTTTCACCGTCCCGAGGACCCCAACTCGGAAGTCTACACCTTCCTACGTGTTGTAAATTTCATTGACTGATGAAGCTATGTTTTTGTTTGACCTCCGCTAGTTCTTTTCCAGGGTTGACGGTCACCACTGCGTCCCCCTACTTCCTATTGTACGTTTCCACATATACCAAAGATATATACGCGATACTTTCATATCAGATATGACAAAGCCATGATAATTAAGTAGTTCAGTAACTATTCTACTAAGTTCGCATAAGAATCTCAAGGGAACCCTAAAGATACGACCTCTAGTTGTAACGTAGAAAAGCTGACAGAGGAGTGATTGAAAACAAATTTACTGGGATCGAAGGGGAACTTCTCCTGTACTTCGATGGATTTGAGGCTCCTGTTAAAATCCGATTTGACATTCTCGGCTCGTTTGCTTAGCACCCAAATAACATCTTCATTATATGATTCTATTTCATTTGATGATAGTTCGGAAAGAGCACAGGACCTCTGTTATATATTTCTCTGCAACTCGAATATACGGGAACTAATAGAATCAATAAGGTTTCTAGTGTGACGTTGGGGAGTTTCGGAATCCTGATAAATACGACACCTCCGGAGTGCCTTCCAGAACCACTTCGGATATCGATGATTCTTAATGCGGTTTTCAAAGAAGTCCAACTTTGCATTTATTTCGGCAAGTTTGACAGAGTAATGCAGAAACCCGTTGAGTTCCTTCACTGTCGAAGGGTCCTTGCATTTTCACCCATCCCATGTAATCTTGTCTTTGAGCCTTTTGTAATATACATCTGTACCTCCAAACTTTTATAACAAGTTGAAAATTATTACCGCCTTCGTTACTACATGGAATTAAATAAATAATAATTGTATCCATGTGAACTTATGTATATAAATGCGACTGTACAGCTTTTGAGAATGAATTTGCTGACTTTCTTGTTATTTTCCCACTAATGTCTAGATGGGTATTTTCCACGATTTCAAAAAGAGCAAAGCCAATATGTTTCCGACTTCTTTGTACTGAAGGAACCCTAGCTGAATACATCGAAAAGCTGGATTTGTGTTCAAAGGAAATCAGTTCAACCTCCACAACATTTACGATGGATCTAGTTCGGCTTGACTCCTTAGTTTTTAATCCTCTTCATTTGTTTCATTTCAGTGTATAGGTGTGACTGTACAGCTGCTTTTGAGAATGAAATTGCCGAAAAGATTAACATCTTTGCTGAAATACACAGACGCAAATAAAATTCCCAATTTGTAATTTACGTAATTCGAGGAGGTGAAATTCCTCCACAGTTTGCTTCAGGAAATAAAATTCAGGTCAAAATTTGAGGTGTGCTTGATATAACCATATCAATGTTGATCAAAAAGGGAAGCATAAATGCGTAAAACTAAATACTATTCATTGGTTGAGATCAGTAGTTGTATACCACTCAGACAAGTCTCTATTGAAAATGGATAACCTACCTACAAGATTTATCAGGAGAAGTCAATAAAGTAAGAACAGAAGCCTAAGAGAATCCAAACATTAGGAGAAAGAAATCACTGTTTATGGATGTTGGATTTATTATGACGAATTATTTTCTACAACATTATAGCTCAAATGATATTCACAACTTAAAACATTTTTCAATCGATTTGTCAAAAAAAAAGAGAAATTACGCGTAGGTTGTAAGAAGATGCTAGATAGATTTTAAGTGATAACTAAAGAAGGTTAAAGAAAAAAAAAACGGGTTTATACTGATACCTGATATGAAGAAAACACACGCAAAAAGATGGTATCGATTAAAAGGACGCGTGTACTGCACAACAACACAAGTTGGCTCTCTCTTTCTATTTCTTCATTTATGGCTATGCGACATGGTCATCATTGAAAGTGGAAGATATGCGAATAGCCTGGCTAACTTTCTTTTATCACAGGTGTTTGCGTTCTACATCTCGTATAATATATTGAAGAAAACTATAATGGGCAGGTGCATGGAAAAACACGGGGATTCTATGCATATACGAGACCGCAAAGAGTGAAAACATCAGAATGATTCGAGTCATATTACACCATAAGTCTCCAGTCACCGGTTCTTGATATCACAGGGACTCCAGACAACCAGGCAATCTACACCTCCCATTATGATTGGTTCCCCACTCATTGCACGGATGTCAAATGTCTGAATGTTGGTAGTTTAGGAAAACAAAACAATTCTGATTACTGCAAAACAGCAACGCTAACTTAGTGTCAGTGGCATAGAGGTTAGGACGCTCGCCGACCATGCACATGGTCCGGGGTTCAATTCTTGGACGACGCACTCCTTTACTTCGCTAAGTCAGAAATGATACTGGTAAAGAGGAAAGGTTGGGCATGAGGCTAGCAACCCAACCATCCTGTAAAATAAACACTGCTACAGAATCTTCAAGTCACTATCTTGAAGCCCTATGTTCCACTGGGGAACGTGAAGGAAAAAAAAACTTAGCGAAATGAAAAAAGGCGAAGAGTAGGTCAAATCTGAGTTGGTCAAAAGCAGACTGTGATTTGTAGATAGTATTGAACAATGTTTAAAAATAACACCACTTGTACAACTAAACGACTACCCAATTAGCTCATGGATAATCTGAATCCTAACAGGAATGAAAACAATGAAGTCTTTATTTAGGGAAAAATAACCAAACACGTATCTGAGAGTGACAGTAACAGTCATTCTGAGGATGAGTAGCCTCATATCCAGTCAGCTGTAGAAACAGTAGTGAAGACTGTTGGTAACCTCAAATCAAAGGCTGGGAAACATCATTGCATATCTACTAGTTCATTCGAACTGATTCCCAGAGACAGCAAATATGATGGTGATCAGCAAAAGCCACCCAAATACAAGCTAACTAAAAGTCTACCCGACGAGTGTTAGTTATAGTGGAGGACAAAAACCAAAGAGAAAGGGGAGGGATCAGCAACTATTTCGACTCGTTAAGCAAACGAGTGCTTATCAGAATGGTGCTTTAATTACCACCCAGTTCAGAGCACTGGAATAATCACTTAATTATCAAAACATCGCATACATTTTAGTCAGCTACCAACAAAATTTCAAACTAACGTACTATTATTATTAGCGTCATTGCTTTAAGCAAAGTTACTTACCGTCGCATCAATTTCACGCATTTCTTCTTCAGATAATTCATACATAGATTCATCAACGGATGATGCGCCGATATGATTAGTATCCGTAACCTCTTTCAGCACATTATTACTATTATTGTTGTTATTATTATCATCACAATTACTCAATGCAGACACTTGAGTGGTACACACATCCCCACTTTGTATATTATGTGTTGTGTTCATCTGTCCATTTGGATTGGTTGAAGAAATAGTAGCAGTAGTAGTGGTACCATCCGTCAGAACTTCTGGGATTGAATTCATCACAAGCATCGGCTGACTAACAGCAGTATCAATCACATAGTTAATAACTTTATTATCATTTACGAAATCGGGAAGATTAGATGAAGTTAACTTAGAATGATTCAAATGATTACTAATATTATTACTATCAGTGTCATTTGTTGAATGAATTTTAGTCGGAGATTCACAATCATAGAAAGATACGGACGATTGGATAGGTGTTAGATAAGCATCAGATTGTTGAGTAATCCATGATAAACCATTTGTAATAGGAAGATTAGAATATACAGTATACTGATACTGTTGTGGATCTGACATTATACGACAATAATTTGACAACTGAGCAGGCGATGATTTCATTGAAGACAGAGAAAGAATATTGTTAGCTAATTGATGAGTGGTTGATGTATATGCACCATTATTGTATGAATTAACTTGATTTAATATTCCATTATCATTGCATAGATCATAAGCAACAGCCAGGGCTGTACCTAAGCCTAAACTGCCAACATGTACTTCTGAGTTCTCATTTACAGTGACAGATTCTAAGCAACTGGGAGATTGTCGGGATGTATCAGTAGCCTAAAAAGGAGCAAATCAGAGATACACATCAAAATGCATTTTTGAAAAAAGAGAAATTTATTAGCTCAGGTGGAGCTAGTTAGTAGAATTTAGGCATATTCATCATTGAATTTTTGAACATCATTCTGCAGGGGGTGAAGCACGGGATAAAAACCGAAGTCTATTCGTATTTCTCTATTTTACTTCTCGCCTGTTTGAAAAACTAAATATTGAGTTGGTGGGGTGATGCGGTATTTAGAGTTATCTATCGTATTTTGAAGGTTAATCTTGACTTTGCTTTAGAAGTTCTTTTATACAAGGTTAACTAAAGCAGTCGGAATAAACCTGAAAAAGGAACCTAAGTTATATGTTCAGAAGTTCGTTTTGGCGCTTTCAGTACCTTGGCTATCATTATTTGATTATCATAAGATGACAATTTCTAGTTTTCCCTTTATATTCTACAATTGTTTTGGCTGTCTTTAATTGCTGTGTGAAATTTCTTCTCCATTTGAACTAATAACCCATTAATATACAAATTATCACACATGTTTCTCTGAACTGTAATTCCATTGAGACACTTAACAAAGCGATGTTACCGAACAGAAAAATACACATTAATGTTGCTGATAACAAATACTCTTGAAATGTGCTATATATATATATATATATATATATTGTCAGCAATTTGGAATATATTTCTGAATACACAAAAATGAATGAACCAAAAAAAGTGAACTGTATATATGAGTGAAAATTCTAAATGTATAAATTAAAAACAAAACCATTCTAACAATTGGTGTGATCAAGGGGAGTCATATTGCTCGAATTATTACCAGAAACAAACCACTGAAATATAATAATAGTCTAATCGACCTCTTCCACGTTGCCCTAACGTTTTACTTACATTAATATATGTATATGGTATTCAGGTGAAGTTGTCGAAAGGAATATTATACACTGAGTCTTTTTTTATCATCTGCATGTCTAAACAGAGGATTCAGCCAAAATAATATGCTTAAGGGATAGGAACTTATGTCTGAACCTATTCATATTTATTGATTACCAATGATTTTATTTTATATTGTGAAACATTCAGACAAATTACAGCAAATGACAATGAAGAAAAGCTTAGGGCAAAGAAGAGGAGTGCAAGGAGAAAGAAAATAAAACGACACTTAAAATTATTTAAGCTTTAAGCTACTTCACTTTAATTTTTGAATAAATAAACACTTCAAACACACATGAGTGAAATGGTACATTGGTTATGTATTACGAAACCAGCCGGAATATAAGGCCGAAACAGACAGATATGATATCTCTATTGGTTATTGATCGAAATCAGTACAATCATTTTTACAGCTGATTAATCCTACAGTAACCATAGTGCGAACATGAAAATTAAAATGAAGTTCAGATACAGAACAAGAAACAAGCTAATATGAGATAGATCTCGTATAAATCGAACTTACTAATACAATATTAGCTGCTCCAAATTGACTTATCGGGATGGACATTGCAAGCGAAACATAGCGCACACTTTTAAAATGCCGCCGTTTCGTTCATTCAAAAATTAAAAATCACTGAGTCTGAGTATTATTAACAATTAGTTGAATTTGAACAGACTTTAATAATAAAGAAAATGTGGTCAACATTGTTTTATTCACCATCAATAGCGCCACTTTCAACAGTTTTCGATGGTGCGTCATATACCTACACTTACGAATAAGGATTTGGATGATCTGTCCGTAGAGGTTGATTTATTTACGTGTATTCGGAATGTAGCCGTAATTCTACCTAAATAATTTGCTGTATAACCATGATGGATTATGTTAAATCAAGTGGATGCTATCAACCATTAACACCTGACCATGCTTCATTATCATCACTTGCTGAAGAAGTAGCTTTTGCTGACATCACTAAAGTTAGCCATGAAGATTTTGCAGTAAGCCATGATGTATATCTTGTGACTTTAAATTTCAGAAACAAATTACTCTCATAGAACTATCGTTTTTCAAAGCTATTCGCCGAGAGGTATTTCGCTCCTGGTTTTTTGTATTATTATTATTTCACAGGAATTTGCAAGTCTTAAATGGAATGGTAGAGAAAAGCATTTATATGCCCCAAATATTGTTGCATCCACGAGGTGGTTTAACCAAGTAAATTGTAGATAACGTTCTTTTTCATCATCTGTTTAGATAAATTTCTGGGTTCAAAAGGAAATTTTAAAGTATTCATGTGTGTCCAAAAGAACTGAAATGTTGTCCTTTTTTATTAAAATTTCTAAAGTAAGTTGAATACTGTCAGAGCTACACGTTAAATTTTTTCACTATATATATATATATATATCGGATTTACATATTATGCCTTTTTTCGGTTGATAATGGAAGGTTTAAGGTGTATGCTAATGTTTTTTTTACTGAGTGTCTGTGCTTGCCTAATCTATCTCTGAAGGAGTCGATTGAGGCACATCCACTACTTATTCTCGGAGTCAGTTCCAATAGTTGTCCCTTTGGCTTTTGTATTCTCTGGTGTGAAAAAGAGATAGATTGGGTTGATATGCATTTAGAATTTAGAAATTTGTTATTAGATCTATCTCTCTACGATATGATAGTGGTAGGAGATTGGGACTGATACCTTTCCTCATATGATAAACGATTCATACCAGAGGTCATACTTCTGACTTTCCTGTGAACCTGCACAAGAATGTATGAGTCTGTCTGAAGGTAGGAAGTGGATGCAGTCACTGAGGATGTATATAAAGTGAGCATTCCACTGGCTGTTCTAACAAAATCTTACGTATGTTTTCGATACTGATGTAAACCTGCGAGCTATCAAAGCTCTGCATTTCCTTGAGCATCTTAGGGTCTCCATCATGACTATGTGACTTACTCAAACTCATATTGTGGTTCTTGGATTCCATAGATTTTGTGTTTTGTTCTATATTGCTTGTTTAAAGTGTATTGGCGTAACCATACTTCATCGCTCACATTGTAGAATTAGGGTTTGATAGGTGTAACACATGTCAAGTCTATTTCAGTCGGTATGTATACGGTCATCTTATACCCATTGTGATAGTGAATTTGAAGGGAATACTTAGTTGTACATTAACACAGCTGTTTCGATGTAGGTATGAATCGCCCAGCTAAAGATAAAGAGTGGGAACTCACAATTTAGATTTATTTCCCACCTGTGGTTCTGTCATCGTAGACATTCTTTAAAATCGTGATAGTGTAACGTATGGGTGCCTGACGTTGAATATATTTTATAACACAGGTAATATTTGACTCCGTCGGTTGATTAAAAAATTGTGTCAGTTAGTCATTTTAAGTGGCTTCTGGAGATAGCATTTTAATGATGTTTCATGGTTCGTTTAAAGTACAAGATGGCCTATTTCATGTTTAGTGCACATCAAGAATACCCCCTTCGCTTTTATTTGACAGTGTATATACATATTTGCAAACTTAAATGTTTTAAATGATCCTCAATTTTTGTGGAATTTTCATAATTTTAGTTGATATTCTAGTTGCTATTATATTATTATTATTTAAGCATGCTTAATGAGCTAATTCTTTTGATCTTGTTTAACGAATCGATATTATTGAAAAAGACCAATATTGTTATTGACTACTACTGTAGAATACTCCTTGTATATAAACATATAATTGTAGAGCCAGAAGAGGGAATTATCGAAAAGGATATTCATTGCTCAATTATTTTGTGTTTTCTAAATTATAGTAAGTTCACAGTTCTAAGGATCTTGACAACTGGGCACATCTTTGTCTCTAGAAGTAGTGACTTTTAATCTTTTACAGTACCATGACGTGCACTAACATATGGTCAGCGATTCCATAAGTTGGTGTATTGGTTCACGCGGACAGATTTATCATGTGCTAGACCAAGAGCCAGTTATGTATAGGCTGCTTATACAACCTTATTCTAGTGGTTTTGGCTATCACTGTATTCTCCTTTGTATACCTTTGTGTATTGCGTGGAGTGTGGCAACTTGAATTGAAGCATTTCTGAGCAAAGTCGTATGTCGAAACTTAGTCGGTCAGACCACCTAGTCGCCCAGGCTCAAATAGTTGAGACGTGACTCGACTATGTGGCTTGTTAGTTAGAAGCCAATGGCATATGAAATGGTGCTGTGTCTTGATCTGACTAACATTGCCTCTTTTCCTACCCAACCCTAACATAATATTCTTTTTTCCTTAACCCACTTTAGGCTACAGTTTATCAGTATTTTTTCATCACTATTTCTATTGGACTGTTGACGCGCTTTTCTAAGATAGGCATTATATAAAATCAGGCTTCTTTAAATTAATTATTGCTGTTATACTCATTCAAGTGTAAGGACCATCTTCGGCTAAGTAAGGGAATGGTGTTTCATTCATTAAACTGAGAACCTTAGGCTTCCACGGCGTCTGAGATTTTCGCGTTCATTGAGTCAAAGACATCCATGCACAAGCTAACCAATGTCTTATAGCGAAGTGATCTCTCTCTATGTTTATAACTAGCCTGTTATCAAAAGTCTATGAAAAGCATTGTCTTTTTGCGTATGTTGAAGTTACTGGTGAACAGGAACCTTAAATGCCTGAGTTGACTTTTAAATGTTTCATGCCTGCCTTCTGGCCATCCATCTCAATGAGTTACTTCAAGGGTAGTCAGATTGAGTTGTAGTAGTCTTATTTTCACAATCCATGAAGTCCTTGTCTGTGTCATCGAAGCTATAAACAAAAGCTTAGGCTGAGTTCCACATTACTACTACTACTGTATAAAGTTTTTAAGGTTTAAAGCCTCAGTAGCAGTATTTTTCTTACAGGGTGCGGTCGCTTGCCTCACTTCCAGCCTCCCCTCTTTTCCCGACTCACTAAACTAGGCGACGCTGAAGTGTCAACTAGGAATCGAACCCGAAGTACGTTTGTGTCTGGAGATGCATACAAAGCAGAATACAAATCTTACTGTGGCTGAACACCTGGCGCGCATAAACGACCTGATAAGACCGAGGGTGCTCAGACTTTTGTCTTCCCGAAATTCTTTCATGTAATCACACGTCTATTGCCTCTGTGCCGTCAGGTAAACTGCCTATTCACTCCACGCGGTAAAGAGAGGTATTTCTCACTAAAGTGAATGGGTGGATGCGAACGTTGTCCGGTACTTATAACGATACTGGTTGACACACATTCTGCCCAAGCAACGCTGCAAAAATCCTGTTTGTAAACCTAAAGTATGTGTATGCATGTTAGAACCCGAAAGGAACGTATGGTATATAAACCTATCTGTGGTCGCTGGCGACCATGGGAATATAGCAGAGCTCGACTATGCTTCACTGTATTGCAAACCAAACTTCTAGTTACAGGTTCTTAGCGGGAGTGGTCCCCTAAGACAACCACTTGCTTCAGTCTGGAATTCCGGGTAGTAGGAATTCCAGCCCTCCTATATCTTGGTGCCCATCGTGTACCAAGTTTGTAAACAGCATTCATATATGGTGATTATTATTAGAGCGGTCTTCGCATACCTTCTAAACACCTTTCTGATTATTTTTTAAACTTATTTTTCAGAAACTTGTTGAATACAATAATCTTTATTCTGCTATGTCAATCATATCAGCATTACAAGTCGAGTGTATATATCGTCTACGACATACATGGTCAGGTTTAGGAAATAAAGATCGAACGTCATATAGACGTTTAGAAGAACTTTTTAGTCAAGATGATAACTGTCGTAGACAAAGAGAACATATGAATTCAATCAACCTGCCGGGTATTCCGTATCTGGGTAAGGTTTTTCTATAATATTCTTTTTTGTATGAATTTTTATTCTGCAGTAAACTCATCGGCTATTGTGAAACCTGATTTTTCATAACTAGTGGGGTCCACCAAGTTAGTCATCGGATGTGAGGACAAATAGTCACCGATGATATCTGACAGTGGTATCGTTAATTAACAAAAGCTAGGAATCATGAACTGGCCGTTGGATTTGGTAGTCCGATTTGATGAAATGGAATCGCAACCTTCAGACCAACAATGAATTGCGTAAATTTAATGCTAAATAATGTTCTTATGCGTACTAACATTCCATACGATTATTATTATTTCCTTGGGTCATGGCTCGAACATAGAGCTCCAACAGCACCTCTCTATTTCATCCTGTTCTCATCTGTCTTTACTTTCTTATTCATCTATGCACTGGATCATCTGTCGTTTCACCATCCCTTTCTTCTCACCTGGCTTCCAGGTGTCCGTAGAGACTCGTTGTTTGTCTTGCCTCTCCTTCCCCAATGTCCTTTTCACAGAGTTGCAGTGCTTTTCCACACAGGTTTCCCCGGTGACGCCACATAACGTTTCCGACCTTACTCTAATGACTGTTATCCTTTGTAGTTTCGTTGTTCACTTTTGTCTCTGTTGAACTTAAAGTGTGGTCCATCTTCAGTCGCTTCCAAGGCTCCCAACTTGACCTTGAACGTTCCTTGCACCAGATGATGGCCTGAGACCATGTCTTCTTTTCTCTATTTTGT